AGGCTGAGTTTGCCCCAGGGGCAGAGTGTGGGGGGAAAGATTAGTTCAATTGAAAAATCCAGTGATCTCATTGGGATTTGAAACCCCGACCTTCGGCTTGTAGCATAGTGCCGCATCCAACTACATTGTACTTTTTTTTTTTTTTTAATTCATGCAGTCAGTATTAACTTTAGTGATGCAGAAACTTGTGAGGTGTTAGTGAGACTAGCACCAAGCATCTTACATTAAGTTAATTTTTTGTAGACTGTAAAATAACATGCCTGCTGCATGAAACCTATATTTATCTTTTAGCTTGATGGTGACAACTAATGAATCACTGAGTCCAAGTGTGAGATTTTATTTGGAGAAAGCACAAACAGCATATTAATTATGTGAGTCTTGTTTATGACAACTATAACAAATATGAGATGTCAAACTGAAATTTAATGTAAATATTACCTGTACATATGTAATATGTTATCCTAAAAAGAAACTACTGATAGAAATGACAGCGGTTTGTAACAGAGCTACAGTTGGAAGGAGCACAGAAATTCTGATTTGAGTAGTTTTTGACTGTATGACCATCTAACCGAGAATCTGGCACAATAACCTATGAGCTGAATTTCATTTTATTGATTATGAATTCACATTGCGTGAATAAAGATTAAGAATACCAAAATTTGTAGGATACCTTGAATAAAAAAGGAATCTTGATGAGTTCTGCCTGTAACTCCTTCCTTGTTTTCACATTAGTTTTATCATTATAAGTTAAATCAGTGTGTGTACAACAAAATTTAAAGAGCAGCTTTATCACCACTTTATATTCATAATCTTCCAGCAATAGAAACAGTCCATCTTAGATCTTATCAGTCCAGCTGTCCCTATGCATTCCTTCCAGATGGCCATAACTCCCACAACACGACAAGGCCACAGAGGAGTTTGTCATGTGCAGTGAATATTAAGCAGAATTGTGTTTGGCTGGATTTTTCGCAAGCTATCACACAAATCTCCACGTCAAATCTGGTTGCTTTTTCAGTGCATACACAGGATGTTTGGTTCATAAAGTAAGCTGTTATGATAGTAATTCAGTCAGATCAGTGTGAAGAAATTATAAAATTATCACATATACATAATTACTTATGAATGTTTAAATATTTGAATGCAAAAACTAAAGGGAGGTATGAAAAATACTGCCACAGTACAGCATTGAGCTCAATATTTAAATGTCCACATTGAAGGGTTAATTTTAAATTGAAATAATATCAAACCAATCTTTGGAGACTTGTGCATGTATTCACTCTCCTACTCACAATCCATTTTACTGTTACAGGATTTGAAAGCAGAACTCTTCTAAATCACTGTGAAAATTGAGCTTGTTGATCCCTCCATGCTAAGGATGAGTTCAGAGAAATCAGGAAACTATATTGACATATGAAAGATGAAATAAACGGAAATTTAGGATATCATATAACAAGGAACTTTGTTAGTTATACAAGTTGCTTAGTATGAATAATGGTGAAATTTAGAGGAGTGTGATGGGCTGGGCATATATATGGAATTCATGGTGCCATGGTGGCATGATTCTTTATCCACGCAGATTAGGCATGCATTATCCAGTTTTTACTTTTGTTTTTAACTGAATTCATGGAATATAACCGATACTTCTGTTTCTTTACATTGTTGACAAGTGCATGCTTGGCACAATTTTTCTATCATGTTTTTACTGTGATTTTATCCTTTCCTCCCACTGATGGAACCGGTTGTTGGTTGTTCATAGATTGTTTTTCTACAGACCGGGATTTATCTAGTGATTGAGATTAGCTCTTTCTAAGGGGCCCAACTGAGTAAGTTTATCCTTCCCTATCCACCTGAAGACAGAGACAGTCTCTGAAACGTCTTGGTTTTTTGTCTTTTACATACCAGACGATGGCTGAAGTCCAAAATAAGCCAAAAGAAGTACTTTCAGGTTCTGTTTACAGACAGTTCATTTAGAAGATACATGATAAATGTCTCAGTCATGTACTTGTGAGTAACATTTGCGTATTATAAAATGAAGAGCTCTATTTGTGTAACACTGCTGGTCTGGACTTAGTGGAAAAGAAGAAAATCTCTTGCTCCTGCTGGGAATTGAACCCCACCCATCCAGCCTGTAACCTGTTTCTATACTGACTGTCCTGTCCCAGCAGAATGTTAAACATTTTAGCAAAAGACTTCAGAAAGTCACTGCAAGACCTGACATATTGTCTATGGTGTTTTCAAAATCTCTGTTCAATATTTCTGATTAGATGTCAGTCCCTGGCCACATCTCATAGTCTCCCTAGTTACAATTTACTCTTTGGCACATTACAAATAATTTTGAAGAAACCATCAAAGTTTTTACTTTCTTTTAGTTGAATTATATGATCATGCACCTGAAATTCACATTCTCATGAATGATGCACACACTCTGTCTCTCTCTTTGCATACATTCTACTTGTTCCAGCCAACACAATTTTTTAGGTGTAATTGCAAACTTTTCAAGATGCTGTTACATGAACTTAGTAGGCTTTTTGGGCGGTGGCCCGGGTCAGGTCAAGTGGGATTTGTGGTGGGCAAAGTGGCGCTGGGACAGGTTTTCTCCGAGTACTTTGGTTTCCCCTGCCAATCTTCATTCCACCAATTGCTCCACAATCACCCTCACCTATCATCTGGGGCTGGTACAAGAGGCCAGAAGTGGCCGCAGTACAAGGGAATTAGTCCCACCCCACTAGCATTAAAAAAAATAAATATTAGTAGGCTCCTTATGATTTGAGATGCTCACAACAGTATTTATGAAGAGCACTATCTTCTGGGATATAGTGTCATGTAGTCCATTGAAAGTTAGCTGATGTTTCAGGGAACATATGGAGGTGATATATTATTCCCAAACGTCAGTCAACTTTCGACAGGCTACTTGGAGTTATATCCCAGAGGATAGTATGCTTCAAATATGGTGGCCCACCATGTAAGCAAGCCCACCAATTTCCATTTTGATCTTTCAGGAGGATGCTGCAGCATGCTTGGGGAGAAGTGGAATGCATATAGATTTTTTCTGGAAAACCCGAATGAAAGGACCATAGGGAAGACCTAGGCATGGATTTGAGGACAATATAAAAATAATTTTAGAGAAATAGGATTGGGGGATGTGGACTGGATTCATCTGGCTCAAGATTTATACCAGTGGCAGGCTCTTGTTAACATGGTAATGAATCTCAAGGTGCTATAAAATGCTGGGAGTCTCTTGTGTAGCAAGTGAAGAGCTTGCGTGAACCGACGTTTTGGAAGAACGTATCGCTTCCATTTTCAGGGTAGAGAAATCACCTACTGACTGATTCCTCACTCGCAGATTTTTCTACCCTGAAGATGGAGGCGATACGTTCCTCCGAAACGTCTGTGCGCACAAGATCTACACGGCACCAGACCCGTGAAGGCGGCATTCTTATTTATTGGTGTTTTTGAACTAGATGACACGGGGACAGTATGCCCTGATTAGAGCAATGGTAGTGTACGTTCTTATCGGCTGAGCTCTCGGCAGTGGCTGCGATCATTTCGTAGCAATAGCCTGAAGCAGGTCTATAGATGGCAGCATTAACACCGGTGACTACGCGACGGATGTATAGCTAGTCAATAATGGTCAATAACGCCGATGATCCATTGGTCAACAAATCTTATTGGCTGATGTCATTAGGTCTACCAACTCTCTGATTGTCTCTGATAATCGGACCAAGTTACCAACAAGAGCAACATACAGAAATGAGGTTGATAAGCTCACATTTCACTGCACTGTACTGCGCAGCGCTCTATAGCTCTATAACGCTGAACAAGTCGCGGGAGATTATAATGTGCAATGTAACGTAGAGAAAATTGCAGTGTCATATTGCACGAATTGGGTTGGGTTAGTTACATAATTAGTTCCAGGCATGGTTGTTAGGATTTATTGAGTGGGAGTAATTAAGCACCTGATTTTAAATTGCCTGTAGTTCCGTGTTTTGTGTTGACCGGTAATGATGTGTTTGTAAACGTGTATATTTGTGTATGTAGTACATATATAGTTTTAGATATATGGAAATAAACGAATTTGAATGTTGTTATATATGTTTTTTTTGTGTGTTGGTTATTTAACGACGCTGTCAGTATCGAGACTATTATAGTGTCGGGCGATCGGATGAAAGGATGACTGGTGAATTGGCAGTTTGGAGGGACGTGATCGTGGCACAACCATGATAAACCCTGTCATTTTCGTGTGAGGAATGAGTAAAACTACAATATCCCACGCAGGATGACTGGTGTGCGGGCCGAGATTTAAACTGAGCACTCTTCAGATACAAATCTGGAGTGTTACAGCTAGACTAGAATGCACAAAACTATAATTTTGCCTGTGGTTCAGTATGGGTGTGAAACTTGGTCTCTGACATTAAGGGAGGGACATAGACTGAGGGTGTTGAGGAGAATATTTGGACCAAAGAGAGATGAAGTGATAGGAGGTTGGAGAAAACTGCATAATGAGGAGCTTCATAACTTGTACTCTTCTCCAAGTGTAATTAGAATGATCAAGTCAAGGAGGATGAGGTGGGCAGGGCATGTAGCACGAATGGGGGAGACAAGGAATGCATATAGGATATTGGTGGGAAAGCCAGAAGGAAAGAGACCTCTGGGAAGCCCAAGGCGTAAGTGGGTGGACAGTGTTAAAATGGATCTTAGACAGATAGGATGGGATGGTATTGATTGGATTGATCTGCCTCAGGATAGGGACCAGTGGAGGGCTCTTGTGAACACAGTAATGAACCTTCAGGTTCCATAAAATGCTGGGAAATTCTTGAGTAGCTGCAGAATTGGTGGCTCCTCCAGAAGGGCTCAGCTCCATGAGTAAGTAAGTACAGCTAGACTGGCCTGTTCAGTGTATATACGAATTGTGAACTATTTATGTGGATAGTATATTGATTTGATGATAAACATATTTGAATGCAATAAAATTTTAGTTGTTGCTATGTATACTATAAGATTGCTAAAAAGTTAATGATGTAATTATGTATGCAGTTTAGTTCACTGTAGTGTATTTTGTTCTTGAGAAATGTTAAGTTTAGTTGAGTATCTCTTGAATGCGATGTGTTTTACTCTGACTCTCCTGTACACTGCTTTTGTGTGATCTGTGATGTGTCTGCATGTGGTTTATATATTATTTGAGTTATAACTGAAAATATAAATTATTTTACACACTTTTGTAGGACCTCGTATTCAGCTATCCAAAGAGGTTCAGTAGTGCAGTTTACAACCAACCCTCAACAATGGTTCTTGCAAAGGTAAATTGTTGCAGTTATGGAATACGGTTTAAGAAACTATGGGTTTTGAAAATTCATAACTGTTTTCATGTGCTTCATTCCAGATTGAGTTTACTGTCCAAATGACATGCCAGAAGTGTGTAAATAAAATTAGAGAGAGTTTAAGTAATGTGAAAGGAATTGAAAGTATAGACATTTCGCTGGATAATGAAACTGTCATTGTAGAGACATCTCTGCCATCATCAGAGGTGCAAGAGAAGATAGAATCTACTGGACGACGGGCTGTACTGAAGGGATATGGAGGTGAAGTTTCTCTAAAAAGTCACATTTATATAAAATACTTGTTACATGAATATGGATGGCCAATTCAATAGCTGTTTCTGGCTTTGCAGTTTTCCTCTTTACCAGTGGTAATTTTTTCTTCTAGCATAATATCCATTTTATTTAGGTCAATGGACAAAGAGTCTCCAACCTCTTTTGTTCCCAAAATCTTTTCTTCCTAATTTGTTACCTGCTTCTCTTCTTGATGTCTCCTAGTACTTGGCTGAACCATCTTCTTGTGGGTTGTCCCATAGGTCTTTTTATATAAAGACACTGTCAGTAGCTTGGATAATTAGTGTTGAAAAGTGTTGAATAGTGAATCAGGAAAAATGTGAAAGCACATCGTTACCTATTTCAAGGTACTATGAAGATTTGGCAAAACAGTGTCATGAATGGCAGAAAGGAAATGTGAGCAAAGAAGACTGAAAGATGAGTCAGAGAAAATAGGTTTGGCATACATATGGCAGAATCAGCATGAAACACCAGCAGATTAGGTATGGTTGTTAAAGAATGATCAGCAACTTATAGGGACAAAATTTATTTTCAATGATGCGTGAAGAGATTTAATTAGATCTCACTCAAGAAACGAAACATGGGTGGGCTAAGGAACAATACACAGAATTTTATAATAGAAATGAACTGAAATGATGTTGCATGGCTTAAAGCATGAATTTAAAAACTAAGAGGAATACACAAGGAAGTTACTTTCTTTGTTCAGGAAAGGGGAAACCTAAACACATACTGCTGAGTTGTTAGGAGGCAAAAGAGTGGAGGATAGAATTTTTATGTAAAAAGTGGCCAAACATGATTGAGGAATTAGTATATAGAAAAATAATGTTTCACAAACAGAACACACATAAGGAATATGGAAAATATTTATATGGTTAAGTGCAACAAGGAAAGAAATGTGGAGGAAAATGATAAACTGGATAGAAAAGGAAATGCAGAAAAACGTGGGTGTGAAAGAGACTGTACATTGTAACCACCAGATGTTAAACATTGTACTGTCTTGCACAACCATGTTAAATGAATTCAACAAAAATTCTGCTCTTATCATTGTACTATCCTGGCAGGACTGAGGAAAGCTACAAAGCACCTTAGGTGTGACAGTATCTTGGCCAGGATTTCAAGTTGGCATCTTCTGGATACAAATTAGAAGCGTTACTACTTAGCCAAACTTGCTCAGTAGATGGTGTTATAACCCAGAATACTACAGTCAAAATGCTGTTGTAAAACAAATATCACAAGTAAGGTTTATGGAGAGAGCATTGTCTTTGTTGTCTGTTGCAGGAGGTGGTAACCTTGGTGCAGCAGTAGCTATGCTGGGTGATGCTTCAGGATGTGGCTTTGGTATCGTGAAAGGTGTTGTACGATTCTTACAGACTGATGAAAACACCTGTGTGGTGGATGGTACACTGGATGGACTTAGTCCTGGCCTTCATGGGTTGCACATACACGAGTGTGGTGACATTTCACAAGGGTGTGACAGGTATTTGCTTATTTATTATCAAGTCTATTGACTTGTAACCTTAGGAGCATGACTTATTTGCTCTTTGGTTCTACAGCCAATTAAGTACCTTGGCCCCCTTTATGACACGTGCCCATTATTCTTTCATCTGCATTGTATCATTAGGTATCTTGGCATGTATTTTTTTTTTGTGAGGTGAACTTGTTTGTCTAATGTGCAACTCACCGTCCCAATCTGGAAGATTAGGAATTATTGCATCTGGACCGTACACTTCAAACTGTCTGGCATGGTTGACCCTACCAGGAACTTACCTTCATGCTATTACAGCTATCTAGATGATCAGGGCGCTCATACCTCTCTGCCATGTTAAGCTAGTGGGGAATGGAATTTTAATGTAACATGTCTCTTGGCTACAGACATGTCAGTATTCACCAGCATGTTAGCATGTAGTTTTGTAAGTCCAGTATACAGTTTTACCTTCAGAACTCATACAGGGTCTGGCAGAATGATCTCCCGGTTTTGGAACTTAAAAAAAAAAAAGGTAACATAGATCTTGTTCAAAATTGTATTTCACTGTAAGTAAGAACAATATTTGCCATTTTGTTATGTTATTGCTGTCACTTTGTTTTAAAGATTCTGCTTATTGGCACAGCCCGACAAATGAAAATGAGCCTTCACTCTATACAGCACATCATCGTCAGCTGGAACATTTTCCAAGATGGCCTTGCAAGATGCTTGGCGGCTGAGCCAGTCATGTTCCCTAAGTTCCTCAACAGCCATCATTTTGTATGGATGGAACTTAAGGTCTATGTGCAAAATTCCTCTGACACTCTGATCAGATATCCCCAAGGCCAGAGCATGCTTAATGGATGAATGTCGTGGAGATGTGGTAATGGCCTGCCTCACTGCTACAATATTCTCTCGTGTTCGAAAGCTGTGAAGTCTACCAGATGATTTCTGTTTTCAAGCTGATCCTCTCTGAAAATTCCAACCCACAATGATATGGTTTTCCTGTGAGGAACGCTTACATGTCGACCTACTCTGAAATGCCTGCAAAATAACCGTTACATAGCAGTGATAGAGTCACCATTTTTAAAATAAGTTTCAATTATAAATGCACGATGTTCACCATTCCACACCATGATGGCAACAGAAATGGCATGGTTTCTGCTGCTCAAAGACATATCTACCACCCACCCACCCACCCACCTGCAATAGCGCCTGCGCGGCAGCAATTTTAAATGCAGGAGATCATTCTCCCAGACTCTGTAATTACTGGGCACCAGTTTCTTACAGTTAAATATCGCATCACAGAACACTTCTGCCCAGAGCACTGAACACTTAACCCCTTGAAATGTCAGGTTCATCTAAATAATATTTAAAAATTCAGTTTCCCTCTTTTCTCTTCTTGCATTATTTCTGTTTCTTACAGGTTTCCAGTCTGTTCTTTCATCTCGCAAACCTTCCTTTTCCCTTTCTTGCTAGCTTTTCCCTCTTCTGGTGGCTTACAGTACCTGGCTAAACCATTTGTTTAAATTATAATTCCAATTCCCTTCTCAATATCATTGTCTTGTCCATTCTTTTTACATGGCCAGACCATTGTACTTGTTTCCCTTCTAACTCTGTTAACAAAATTTGAACTCTAACTCCTTTAACAATTCTGTTTCTAAATCTTTCCCTTTACATTTCCTCATCAAATAAAAGGAATTCATATCCATTCTCTGGAGTTTACTTTTTTTTCTTGGAGTAAAGGTCAACATTAGGCACTGGATGTTAGTATTGGTTTAAAATGTACTTCACAGATTATTGTTCATTGATCTCTCCATTTATGAGTGCTGGCAACGGGTGGTCAAGCTAGACATCAGTGAAATTAGTCTTAAATGGCTTATGTATAAGTTTTTAAGCAAATTATCTGCCCCCCCCCATAATAAAAAAAAACCTTTTGGCACCCATGTCTCTGTTGTATGATTTTCTTTTTATTATTTTATAATCTTCTTGCTACTCATGTATTCTCAGATTATACTTCTTGTGCTCTTTCTTTTCAGTGTGGGAGGGCACTTCAATCCTCGAAACACTCGACACGGCAGCCCTGACGATGAAGAGAGTGAACGTGTAGGTCTTTGTTTTTAATAAAATATGTTCTGTGATATTATGCAGAGGAACCCTACTGGAGCAGATCTCAAAATAGTGCATATTTATCTTGTGGCCCAAAAATTATGCCTCAGGTGTGGCAGTTTTATAAGTATAACTGACATGAAATTGAATGGCATTTGGCCATACATATTATTGGCTTGGAGGGAGGTTGGGTCAGTTACCATCACAAGAGGGGGCACACGGTAGCGTAGTGGTTAAGGCACTATGCTACAAGTCGGAAGGTCGCAGGTTCAGATCCCGATGAGGTCATTGGATTTTTTTTCAATTGACCTAATCCTTCCGGCCGCACTATGGGGATTCACTCAGCCTCTAACAGAAATGAGTACCAGGAATTAAATAAATAATTTTCCTGGGGAGTAAAGCGCGGCCGGTGCATAAGGCTGACAACCTTACCGCCATATTTGAGCCGATTGTCTAGATAATGTGGGACCCTCAACGTTGGATTTTAGTTCCTCATGGTGGTGAGTATAAAGAGTACTGCTTTCTCTTGGGCTGTCAGTAAACTTCTATGAGATTACATGGTATTAAAAACCCTGTCTCCTGGAATATAATTCTGTCTGGCCTGTTGAAAGTCAACTGATGTTTCAGAGGAACATGTTGCTTCCATCTCAATGGTCGAAGAATAAACCAAGCAAGATACACACGAAAGCAGATAGCAAGCAGATCTCTGGCTCTGCAGAGTAGGATGTGCTTGCTACCTGCTTTCGTGTGTATCTTGCTTGGCTTATTCTAGAACCCTGGAGATGAAGGTGGCATGTTCCTCTGAAATGTTGTTTGATTTTTAACAGATAATACAGTGTTGCAACCCGGAAGGTAGAATTCTTCATAACCACCACTGAGAACCCCAGGTCCTACATACATGACATCACATCCCAAAAGACTGTCTTTGACTACCCTTTTTGTATTTCTGGTGATTTATGGGAAAGCATTAAGCAGATGGGATGGTTGCCCATTATCTCTTATGACTGTGTGTGACTCACAAATGCCATTCTGTTTCATGTCTGTTATACTGTCAGGTGATGCTCTACTATCATACTGCATAATTTCATAATATTGCCTCCCCCAGATGGCACTGCTTCATCTCAATTTCACATACTATGGTAATACCCCAGAAGAATAAATGTTTTTGTATTTTCAGTACTGTTAGGTTAATGTATTTGGACTTCAGAACAGTAATTTAGTCTTCTGGTTTTCCATGGGCCACTTAAACCTTTCACTCCCAACATCTCTGCTAACTAACCTGTCTGTAAGAGAAATATTTTGTCAAGCACTGGCCATGTTCTTTTTTGTGAATTATTTTAGAGCACTGTAGGTATATAAGACTATACAGCTTGAATAGTACAGCGATTTATGAATAATGACAATGATTTGGAAGGAAGCATTCATCACCTGATTAAGGTATTTGCCTGGAGGTACTAAGGAAAGCCAGGAAAACCTCAGTCAGGATAGCTAGTATGCTAACCAAGATTTGAATTGAGCACCTCCCAGATATAGGACTAGGGCGTTACCACTGGACCAGCCTGTTTGGTGTGTTACCTTCACTACTAAGTAACTGACGTTCTTTTGTTGATTTTGTTATTTTGGAAATGTGCTCAGCAAAGCACATAGATGGATCTGGACATACTGTGAGTGAAATACGTTAATAAATGTGAGCTTCTCAAAAAAGGCAACCCATTTTAGTCCATTGCTTATGGTTTAGGAGTTAACCACCATTTGTTTGTAACAAATACAGCTATTTCAGTTTCACTGTTTACTGGATGATGCAATACTGTAAGCAAGCTGCCAGCGTATGACATAACACACTGATAAGATGTCTGCTGATAATAGTCGTGCTGCATGTATGAGAGAATACAGGATAAGGAAGCAGTTAGAAGGAGATAATTGTAATAATGTACCCAAACGAACAAAGTAAAATGCCGAATGACAGCATGAATATAAAGCAACATATGAAACCTTATCTGCTGATTTGTAACACTCGGTAGATTACTGTAACATTAGTGCACAAAATAAAGTCTTCATTGTCTGCTTGCTACTTGTTGCTCGGTAATGAATCTTACCTGGGTAATACTTCACAGATGAATATTCAACTGAACTGCCTTCTAAATTGTATTACGAATGATTGAATGAATTAATTAATTGAATTCACAAATGAACTCTCTTTTATAAGTTCAGGTGGACCAAATAGAAGCAATTGGTCTCCTGTATCTGTTGTAGTGGAAATGTCTGCTGACCCAAGATTCCTCATATCCACTGAAACCTTTGCTGAATCTTTGTTGACACGAGAATGAGTTTTAGTGAGCCGTTGCCTAGCAAACGGATTTCTGCTTGTCTGTTGCTATTCTGGCTTTCAGGCGGTGCTTATCGAAACATTGCCTAGAAAATGACAGTTGGAACATTTGATGCAGACACCCATGTACAAATGCTACAACGTTTTCCAACATTTTAAAATGTGGCTATCGTGCTTGAAGATACTTACGAATTAGATGAAATCAACCAACGTTTTCAACATTAATCCTGGGAACCAAGGTTCCCATTTTTTTTTTTCCTGCAAGTTACTAACTACTAACTTTGTATTTCACTTAATTTCTTATGTTTTGAGAGTCACAAAAGTCGTTATAGTTGTGTCAACTGTAAGTGTCTTAATGTACCAACCAATAATCATCGTTTATCACTGATTCTGTGTATACTGTTATTTGCACTTTAAATTTGCTTCATCTGTAGTCATCTGTGTTGTGACACTGTACGGTCTTATAGGTGGATACTGACTTTTTTGAGAAAATCATTCTCTCTGGTTGTGTTGTTAGGGTGAAGCTCAGTGTTATTGCTCCCCTTATGAGCTGGTACTTGTGCCTGGTCTAGGCAGGATGTTAGTGTTGCTGAGCAGGATTCAGTGACCCAGGTCACAACCCAGAAGATTACAAACTGAACAAATATTGCCATTAAAACATCAAAACTTACATTTGCAGCATGCTGGAGATCTTGGTAACATCACTGCTGGGCCAGATGGTCGAGCAACATTTCGTCTAATGGACAAAGTTATCAAACTATGGGATATAATTGGTCGTTCAGTGGTAGTGACAGATGGACCTGACGATCTTGGACGAGGAAATCACCCACAGTCTTTACAGGATGGTAATGCTGGTCAGAGGTTGGTACCATTTACAAAATACTGTAACGTGTCGGGAATCCAGAAGAGTCACTTCTATGGAAACACTAGAATAGACCGTTGCATAGGAAACAACAATCACTCTAGTGTAGTTCTAACAGGAGTCTCCATGGTTATAACAGAGGGTTCATTGCATAGCAGTGACCGAGGTTATAAAATGGGGTTGATTGCATTCGCACAGTTAGTTGGAATATAGTAGTCACCAAAGAAGCAAGTCTTGGAATACCCGCCGCAGAGGAGAGTTGAAATATTACAGCGAAGCAGTGGATAGTAATTGTACTCGTGATTGCATAAGTGAAGTGTCCGATAAAGGCTCTACTGAATTTGAGACCTACGTGGATTTATTTCTTGCGTGACACACACAAAACACTTAACAATACTTTTGGAGCATCAGTTGTCCAAAATGTTTCTCATTAATGATATTCTATACATTTCAGTGATGTGAAGTGCTGTAGAAATGATGTGAACCTTTTCCTTTCTGATTGATTGATTCTTGTTTATTTAACAGTGTTTTTTAACTACATTGGTTATGTTATATCATCTGGCTGAAGGATGGTTGCAGATGATTGATTGTAATGTCCCAGAATTTGCCTGGGGAGAGTACAGAAATCCCATGAAAAATGTATTAGGAATAGCTGTTGAACCAGGGGTTTTCAGAATGTGAGTGGAACTGGTAACCTACATGTAGTCATGCTCCCAGGAAAGGATTTGAAAGGAAGTGATTGTGGTCCATTTTAAGGTGCATTGATGTACAGTAATCTTTCTGTAGCATTCCAGACTCTGGTCTTAAGAATGCAAAGGCTGTGAAAATTTATACAAATGAATGTAGCACTTTTATACAGTGTTCTTATAACAGTGTGAATGCTGTTTTTGTTTGTGTATGGTTTATTTCACAACACTATCAGTAGTTTTGACTATATTGTGTCAAATGGTAGGATGATTTTTGAATGATAAATTGAAGATTCTGTGGAAGACAGTGGCAGTGACATAATTTGAGGCGCTGAGCTGTTTGAAATCAGAGAATATGTGCTACCATTCAGTTCAGAATCTTTTGTCTTCTCATCTGCTACCTAAAAGCCTGAAATGAAAATATACAGAAGTTAAATTTTGCATGTGGTTTTGTAGGGCTGTGGATCTTGGTGTACCTTGTTAAAGGGGGAAGATAGACTAAGGGTCGTTGAAAACAGGGTGCTGATTGGAATATTTTCACCTCAGAGAGTTGAAGTATCAGAAGGCTGGAGAAAATTCTGTAATGAGGAGTTTTATAATTTATTGTCATTAAATATTGTAAGAGTCAGGATAGCTCAATCAGTATAATGACATGCTATATAGGCTGGATAGCTGGGTTGCCAGTTCCAGCAGGGGAAAGATTTTTCTCTTCTCCACATGATCCAGACTGGTTCTGGGGCCCACCCAGCATTCTATCCAAAGGGTACCTGGGGTGATTTCTCTGGAGGTAAAGTGACCGGGGCATGAAGCTGACCACTCACCTTTATTTAGTCTCAAGGTCAAGAGTGGAGCTATACTCCCTTTCCCCAATATGTCTTCATGGCATGGTGCTTAATGAATTAAGCACAGGGACAACTTTACCTTTTTTACTATTAAATATTATTAGAATGATTAAATCAGAATGAAATGGGCAGAGCATGTAGCATGAATTGCAGAGGAGTTCGTACAGAGTAGGGAAACCTGAAAGAAAGAGACCATTATGAAGACATAGCCATAGTTTGGAGGATAATATTAAAATGAATATTATAGAAACAGGGTGGGCTTGATTGATCTGGCTGATGATAGAGGCCTGTGGTGGGCTTTTGGGAACACAATGAGAACCATCAGGTTCCATAAAGGCCGCGCTATAGTTCAAGTGGTTAGCTGCTGGCTTCCCACCGCGGCGGCCCGGGTTCAATCCCGAGTCTGGTCAAGTGGGATTTGTGGTGGACAAAGTGGCGCTGGGGCGGGTTTTCTCCGAGTAGTTCAGTTCCCCTGCCAATCTTCATTCCGCCAAATTCTCCATTATCATAATCACCCGGGATAGGTACAATAAGCCAATCAGTGGCCACCATGCCGAGTGGACCCAACTGAACTCCACCCCCCACTAAGTGAATCAGATTCCATAAAGTGCCAAGAATTTCTTGAGTAGTTGCTATTAGCTTCTCAAGAAGGGCTGAGCTCCATGGTAGTAGCTAGTTAGCTTAGTTATCAGAGCTTTTGCCTGGAGGGGGTGAGGAGAAGCACAGATATCTTCATTATAGTCTGTCTCTGGGCTGAGGTCTCCTGGATATGAAGCAGGAGTGCTGCCCACTCGACCATACTGTTTGGTGGAATGTGGTTGGAATTGCTGATTTTGTACAATATAAAAAGGTGGACCCTCCCTGCATTATGTCGGTCCTATCTTTATGTTTCAGTATAACATGTATGTGTGTTTATAATGTTACAGGGTGGCATGTGGGATCATTGCTCGCTCTGCTGGCATGTTTGAGAACTCAAAGAGGATCTGTGCATGTGATGGTGTGACTCTGTGGGATGAAAGAGAGAAACCTCTAGCTGGACCCAGTCGGCAAACCAACATTCCAGCAAATAACCTATGAAACATGTGGTCTGACAAAGTTTATGAATTTTTGCTGTATTGACTTCTGTTGTAAATAATACACTGATTTTACGATATTATATGTGATATGGTAGCAAAGTATAATTTTGTAAATATCATAAAATCCTCTCTCATGATCCACTGTATTTTGATGCCTATAATTTAGTCACCAAACAAATGTATTTTTGGTTGCTGCTGTCACCATTACTGTGCTTTTTTCTGTCATAAAAAGAATACTATACCCTAAAGGTACTTGTACATTAAATTATGTGATATTTTTATATACAGCCAACATTCTGTCATTCTTGGCTCTAATGGGAAGAATTATGATCATATAATATAACTTCTGCTGTATATATGTCATTTTCTTTTAATCTTTGGTTCTGCAGTCCTCTAAGAACCTTGTCCTCCTTTAAGACAGATGTCAGATCTCTCTTATTTTCCTACACCTCATAACTTTTTAGTTCATATAAATAATTGCCTACATCTTTCTACAAGTTCAGCGTAGGCCTTTTTATTTTCATCTACGTTCTGCCAAGAAAATTGACTCCAAAGTCAAAATTTGACTGGAAATATTTGCCATATTTATTTTTTGCAACTTTGCATATCCAAACACATTGCAAAACTAAGCACACTACAGATAATGCTGCATAAGAGTCAGAAATGATTTCTCCTTGTTATTTTGTTAAAAGTTCGTCATATCGAAATATGTTTCAATCAGAAGTCTTTGAGCTTAAAGAGCACTCTATTTTATGTTAATGTACCAATTTTTTATATGCTAAGACTTCTGAAGCTACCACAAAGTTGAGTTGATGTTTCTTTAAAGAAGAGGTTTTTTGAGTTAAATGTGGACCCAAAATTCACTTCCTTTTATGGTTGTTTTCTAGTCTACTTTCCAAAATGTTGTAATGTTACACAAAACAGTGGTTTTAACAGCTCTTTTATGGCTCTGAAATGTGGCATTCCAATTTAGAGGAAGAACATAAATTACATATGTATGTAAATGAAGAAGTTCATGAAGTGTTCATCCAAATATTTGTACTTCAAATGGAGGAAGTGAATAATTTACGTAATGAGGAACTTTGTAGTTATGAAGGTCATCTAATGTAGTTAGAATAGTGAAAAGTGGGAGGCTGTTGTAGCTGAGTGTACACATATAGCTTGAAAGGGGAGGCAAGGAATGCATACACAGTTAGGGTAAGAAAACCATTTGGAAGACTACATAGGAGATTGAAGGATAACATTAAAATGGATCTTAGGGAAATAGATTGAGAAAATAGGGTAGGGACTGAACTGGTCCTGGAGCTTGTTCAATGATGAACTTTGATGTCAGTGGTGCTGAACTTCTGGATTCTGCTACCAAAGTAAATGTAACAAGCATCGGTTAATGTCACATGGAATTATGTTAAAGAAGATACATAAAATATCTATTGGAAAATTCCTGGACTAGGTCTAAAGAGAAATGCTGACTTAACTCAATTTTGGCTGCCATCTGCTTCAAAATAGACTCCTTGGGAACATATACAGTGCTCTCATCATTTTTTTCATGCTTCAAAAGCACCGTGTAAGTCATTTTACTTCACGCTGTCAAGTACACTTGTGATTCCCTTTGAATGTCAGACACTGTTTGAAAACATCATCCCTTCAGTTTCATTTTCAGTTTGGAAAAAAAAAGCGAAATTACCGGGAGCTAAGTGTGGCAGGTAGGGAGGATGGGGAACGATAACCATGTTGTTGTTAGTCACAAACTCGGTGGTTTTCAGGGATGTATGGGCGGTTGTGTTGTTGTGAAAAAAGAGCAATGCGGCATATGTTCAGATCTTCTGTTAAGATCTCCTGGCAGACCCCATAACTTATCCCAGCGGTGTCTGTGAGCTCATGGATTTTTCAACGACAGTCTTCATGGATGAATTCTCAAATTTTGTCAACAACTGTTATTTTACTGGTGCTTGGTCACCCTGAATGTTTGTCATCTTCAACTGACACTCAACCAGCCTTGAAACGTGAATACCATTCAAAAACCACTGTCTGGCTTAACCTTTAACATCCAAAGTGCCCTGATCAGGCAAGTGGTGAGTGTAGTCATCGTGGCCAAAGTACCTCGATTTGGCCAGTTGGGCATTTAAACTCCGCTAGTAGAAGCGCGTGCACCCGCCGCTAGTAGGAGCCCATGCACAGTCCTAAGTATTTATTTTTATATGTAGTAATTACCAGACAGACTTGAGTAAAACCCTAATAGAGGAATTAAAATGATACCTAAGTGAACAACAGCAAAAAAGAGTATACATATGAGTTATGCCCAAATCTAGCGGCCTCTGTAGTCTAGAGGTAAAGTTCCCACCTCATGACTCGTAGTACGTGGGTTCAAATACCCGGCGGAGGTCGTCGAATTTTTAAGGGCGGAAAAATTCAGGGAACAAGTCCTCTAGGAGGGACTTTAATCCGTGGGTCCCGTGTCGTAGCTTTACGGCATGTAAAAGAACCTCATCTCCAAAGGAGGTCACTGAGCCAAATTAACGGACGTTTCCCGCCCAACAGCAATCTCTAATACCTCTGGTAGATGGGGAAGCATTATAGATACCTCTCAGCTAGTAGAGCCGGTCTCGCTGGCTGGGCGGGACAGATGGTAAGCACCAGTACCAGTAGAATATAGAGACTGGTAGAAATCATAGAGGGAAGCACAATGGACCAATACAGGTCTCAGTGCATGGGGAAACCCACCCTCTCCAATAACTAACTAACTATGCCCAAAACTTATCCACGAGCCAGTACTTTTATTGCAGATTCTGCAGATTCATTCATTCATTCATCAGTAATCTGTCAAGACGACAGGTCCACAGTCTCTTCCAAAACATTTCCTCCACTTGATGCGATCTAGAGCTTTCTCCTTCAAATGAAAATATCCTCTTCTGTCCCCAAGGTCATCCAGCATCTTCTTATGTCTTCTTCCTTATCTTCTGGTCACATCTATCCACGCCTCTATCTTTCCTTCAATAACTTCTTTTAGAAGGCAGTTACCACGTAAGATATGACCAATCCAATTAGCCTTCCATTTTCTTATTTCGTATAGGATATTCCTCTGCTCACTGACTCTAAATAACACTTCTTCATTTCTCACATAATCNAATCAGTCCAACTGATCTTCTCCATCCTTCTCCAACACCACATTTCGAAGCTTTCCGGGTGTTTCTGATCTACTGCCCTAAGTGTCCAAGTTTCAGCCCTATACAAAGCAATGCTCCAAATGTGGCATTTCACTAGTTTCTTTCTCAAATTTAAGTCCAATTTTCTGGTGAAAAGATTCTTCTTCTTGCTAAATGCAGATTTTGCCATGGCAATCCTAGATTTAATTTCACAAGTACACCTTCCATCATCTGTTAACAAGCTACCCAAATATTTAAAACATTTCACATTCTCCAGTTGTTTTAAAAATATATAGTAAAATTCGATGTGCATACCTTTTTTGTTGTTATCTGCTTGATGTATATATAGGCTAAAATGAAACTACAGTATTTGATTTCACTATGAATGCACAGAAAACAGATTGCACTCTGTATCTCAGCCATGATGCAACTGTCTGTTCATGACCATAGGAAGGGCAATAATTTCTTGCAGCTATAACGGAAGGTCTTAGCACTGAAGCAGGGACCGTTGAATTGTTACCTCTAGCTTTTCCTTGAAAAGCCATGCTTTCATTCTTCTGTCCTTTAGTCAAAAGAGTCGAAAATCTGAAGGGTGTAACAAAGTTGTAAGGTTTTCCAGCAGAGATCCAAATGATTTTATTGCTTCCATCTGTTTTATGACACCAGGGACTGCTAAAAATTTTCAAGTGTTTCAAACAGAAATGAATTTATAATGCAGAACAACTCTGTGAAGAACTGGGAAACCATATTTGCAGTACACATCAAAATTAAAAGAAAAAAAAAATTGAAAATAACGTATAACTCTTTGTATAAAAATTTTCTAATCTTACGTTATAATATGCGTCACTGTGTTCTTTGCTGATATAAACAAAGTTAATTCCATCCATTTATCATAAAAATTGTGTTAGATACAGCATTTTTAAACACAATGCTTAAAATTTTTTAAGTGCCCTAACAGGAACGAGCATTTAAATGCAGAGTAGCAATGGGCATTTAAACGTGCACCAGCAGCAGGCATTTCAATAAACTCCGGCCAGCTCAAGCGTACCACCATTTCAAAAGTCTGGCGTTTTAAAGGTTAAAGAATGTTCTCCAAAAAGCTCATGAAGAATTTCAGGGGTTTCAGTAGCAAATTTACCAAGCTTCACACAAAATTTGATAGGAGCACGTTGCTGGATTTTGCCAGCCATCAGTGACAAAAACGAAACATGAAGTCGAAAATCACTCATGTAAAACAGTGCGTGTTCACGGTGCAATGACACGTGGAAGACGTGGAAGACTGATGCAGTAGGCTTGTGGAAGTGTGAACTTGGCCTCCGCTCTCACCTCTTTCACTGTTGTAGTTACAAATTGTTATGAATTTTGTATCTTATAATGAAACTGTATTGATTTATTTATTTATTTCCATTGTAAAATTCTGTTGATCGAATCTAGGCTACAAATATGCCTGACGGATACAGAACCAGTCACAGACAAGTAACTAAAATACACATGCTATGAAAATAAGCATAGGTCAGATCAAACAATAAACCAAACTGTTTATCTTCCTACTTTAACATTAAACATAACAACATCTTAAATTTAATATTATAAAAAATCATCATACCAAAAGGTAGATGATAACATATTTATGCCAATATAAAGCACTTATGATAGATAAAACCTTAAAATTTCACATTTAAATTAGTAATTACTATTAAAAAGATCCTTCAGTGAATAAAAAGAATTCGGTAGAAGGTAGTTTTTTTAGAGTATTTTTAAATTGATTCTTATTATCAGACAATTTCTTATGCAAGGCAGTAAGTGATTAAATGCCTTNTGGCCTTTTTTTTTTTGTAGTTTAAATATATTGATACTGTAAGGGGAATTTCCCCCAGAAGATTATACCATATGACATAACTGCATGAAAATAAGAATAGTAAATCATCCTTAGTGATTCATGGGACACAAAGTGTCTTAATGATCTAATAGCATAACATGCTTTGCTTAATTTAACCATAAGTCCATCAATATGGTGCTTCCCTGAGAAGGAGCTATCAACAGTAATAATTAAAACCGAGTATTTATATTGTTAATAATATATTTATTAATATAACATATATAATTGAATTCTTTGGCTATTAGTGGTTCTAAATTTTATATACTGAGTTTTGTTATAATTTAATGACAACAAATTGATATTAAACCATTCCTTCAACTGCCTGAAAGAGGAAATAATATCTTTTTTAAAATTTTCTAAATTAGGATTACTAATAATAATGCTGGTATCATCAGCAAACATGACTGGCTTAGAGTTATAATTAGCAACTTTAGGTAGGTCATTTATGTACAAAAGAAAAAGCATTGGTCCAAGTAGAGATCCCTGGGGCACTCCATGTTTAATCTTCCCCCATTCTGAAGTATAAGAATGTGTTAATTTATCATCAATGAGGACTCACTGATACCTATCACTGAGATATGATTCGATTAGAGCATATGCATTGCCTACAATTCCATAGAATTTCAGTTTCTTCATTAATAAGTCGTGATTAACACAATCAAAGGCTTTCTCGAGGTCACAAAAAATACCTCCCACAAGTTCCTTATTATTTAAGGCCTGTAAAATATCATTTAGAAGTTTAAACGTTTCTAAACCCAAACTGTTCACTAGATAATATAGCATTATTTATTACATGGCTGGCCAGTGTGTGTGGAATGGCAAGGTGAGAATTTGACAGTGGTTTTTCCACAGCCCGTGTGTGTAGTCTTAACAACTTGTGCTGTCTGCATGAGGCCTGATTATATATTTTGTTGGACCAAGGACGTATGATGTGTAGTCATCATGAATTTGTAATATGTGACATGTTTTATATCCAGCCATACAGGGAGATGATTGGATCCATGAAACTATATGAAATTAAATTAACAACAATAGTCTGGTAACTTTCTGATACCACCTTGTGTGTCATATGAAAAGGCAGAGCAAGACTGGACGACTGAATATTGACATGAAGGTTGTAATACAGAGCCATATGTATGTTTTATTGGATGAACAGCTGTAACCTATTTTCATTCTACTGTCCCACACATCAGATATGTTTGCAAAGTGGCATAAGTAGTAAATACCCAGACAAGCTTAGGACGCCATGTGCTGGAGAAAACACAGCAGGGACTATGGGATATTTAGCCGAGGCGGTGGGAGTGGTGCTGCTAGAAACCAGTGTATCTGGGAGGTCTTGTGACCGGCCAATTCGATCAAGGTTTTCCGTGGTTTTCCTTGGTCCCAGAGCAAATGCTGAGTTGGTACCCAAATTCCACGTTGCACTGCATGCTTCACATGCAGCCCCCCCCCCCCCAAATAGTAACATCATGAAACTTATTATACTATAACTACACAAGAATGACATGTCTTATATCATGTATAATGATCCATGGACACGAAATAAATGAAATGAAATGAAATGAAAGTGCTGCCCCACAAATGTTACAAGATCAATGTCAGTTTGTAGCGTGGAGTTGAAACAGACTAATACGAGCCAAACCCAAGACGGAGATTATTTATTCCATAAATTCAGAACCACTGGAAGAGGTTATGTCAATGGGACGTGTTGCAATTCTTTGTTTCAAAATTACCGCCTGTATTACTTGTTTAACTCATAGATGGCAGTAGTTTTCAGACCGCTAGTGCAATCTGTCAGGCTAATTCTGTTTACTTTTTTATTTGGGTTGTGTAATTGATTCATAACTCTTTGTTATAGTTCATTTCATTGCCGTGATGCTACAAGGAAAAGATTATTCCTAGAAGGAATAGATGTTTTCGTCAATATGGCGACTGGTGAAGTGTGAGTGTTGTGGCTGGGTGCTGTGACATTTTGTTGTGTGTGTATCGTAACTTGTTGGTGCTTGAATATCCGCTGTAGGACACATGTTATTAATAAAAGGGAGAAATAATGAGTGAAGAGTCAAAAATGCTTCCAAAATCTGTGGAAGCATCACCGACCTTGAAAGTAATACTGCCTTGTCTTCGTTCCCATTCCGAAAATCATCGGAAGAGAGAACCCCGGAAAGTTTCATTTCCAGAGGAAGAAGACGATTTGGTTACAGGTTATTTAGAACCAGCAAATGCATGGGAATATGGTAAGCCCATACACCAGTTTCTTGCAAATACAGTATTATAGTTAAAACTTTTATTTTGACATGCCAACTATTATATAGTGTCCTAATTTAAAAATATGGCAGGGCGTAACTTCTAAGCATTGTATTTGTGTTTTCGAACGGTACTCAAGAATAGCGTAGAAATCTTTACTTTTATAGAGTGATACAGGATCCCAGGTCTGTTTATGGCACTTACCCCAAAATTACTCATGTTGGTAGTAGTGTTCAGACCGTTTATTGTGACACACATTCCTTCTAGAATTCCATAACTATTCAGTTGATACAACAAACTCAAATAGCTTATGTAATGTTATAAAGAAGGAATAGTGTAACATCACATTGTTGCTGATCATGGAGGAGAGGTTCATTTACTGCCTACATTTATGTTACTTTGTGTGTGTGTGTGTGTGTGCCATTGATAATATTTTCATCGATATTACTATAAGAGAAAATTATTCTATAAGGCCTATAATAAATGGATTGTCTGATCATGATGCACAATCCATAACATTTAAAACAATAAACATGAGATCACATGCTAAACAATTTAAAATAATAAGGAAAATAAATAAACACAATAAATGACTTTTTAATTAAACTAAGTTATGAAACATGGGACACAACACAGTTTCTAGTGATGATGTTAATATAATGTTTAACTCCTTTTTAGACACTTACTTGAAAATATACTATTCTAGTTTTCCAACCAAAAAAAAATTTAAATTTCAAATAAAATAAGTGATTGGATTACTATAGGAATAATAACATCCTGTAAACGTAAAAGAGTACTCTATATGGCATGTAGAAACAGTAATAATTCAGAATTAAGAAACTGGTATAAAAATACTGTAAAATTTTATCTGAGGTCAGTAAGGAAGCTAAAAAACTAAAATATGATAATAAAATTCAAATTTCCAAAAATAAAAATAAAACCATATAGTAAAATTAGAAACTAATAAGGGGCCAAATATTGAAAAAATATGCACATTAAAGGTGGACAGAAAATGGATTAGAGAAAAACAAGTAATTGCAGAAACCTTTAGCAATTACTTTTTATCTGTAGCTGAAAATAAAAATGCAAAATATGAACAAAATAATACTAATATTAGTTACCTTCCAGGCACTACCCCTATTCAGTATTTAATGAAAACTTTTATAAATCCCTTTCCACATATTAAACTTAAATCTTTATCAACTAAGATAGTTGAAAATGTAATTAAATCTCTCAAAGCAAAAAACTCTTATGGATATCATGAAATATCCACTAACGTACAAGTATTAAGAATGAGTTCCTTTTTCATTAGCTCTCCTTTGACTCTCATATGCAACAATTCATTATCACAAGGAATTTTCCCAGATCGTTTAAAATACTCAGAAATAAGACCACTGTTTAAAAAAAGTGATAAATCAAATATTTCCAGCTATAGTCCTATATCACTTTTAACTTTGTTCTCTAAGGTATTAGAAAAAGCTATGAGCATTCAATTGATTGAGCACTTAAATAACAGTAACATTTTAGTGGAAGAACAGTTTGATCCTAGAACAAAATCTTCAACAGATGAGGCTATGTACAAGTTAGTGAATGAAATCTGTGAGACCTTAAACAGCAAAAACTTAATAGCAGGAATTTTTTGTGACGTAGAAAAGGCCTTTGATTGTGTTAATCATGAGGTTCTGTTGTCGAAATTGGAGTTCTGTGAGATAAAAGGTAAAGCTAAACTACGGCTTGAATCTTATTTCAGAAAAAGATATCAGAGGGTTTTAATTACAAATATAAATCTTAATCTCAATGAATTTTCAACATGGGGAAAAATTAGACATGGTGTCCCGCAAGGTTCGATTCTGGGTCCATTGTTATTTCTCATTTATATAAACGATTTACCCAAAACTATAAATGATAAAACTGTACCTATATTATTTGCAGGCGACACTAGTTTGTTAGTTAAAAGTTCAAACTATTATGATCTCTGTGTAAATATAAACAATGCTTTTCATAATATAAATGAATGGTTCAAAGTAAACCAACTTTCTATAAATTTTAACAAAACCCACTACATTCAATTTAGAGCTAGAAATAATAATCCTAAATCTGAAATAAAAGTTGTATATGATAAAAAACAAATTATATCTATATCCAATATTAAATTTCTTGGAATATTCATTGATGACAATGAGCTGGAAATACCACATTGAGTACATTAGTTCTAAACTAAGTGCAGTCTGCTACATAATAAGATCACTTAAACCATACACATCCATAAATACCTAAAAAATGGTTTATCGCTCTTATTTTAATTCTAAGTTATAGTTTACCCTTTTGGGGTAACTCACCCCATAGTAAAAATTTTTAGAATGCAAAAGAATATAATTAGAATTATGTTGGGATGCAAAAGGAGGGATTCGTGCAGGAACTTATTTAGAGAATTAGAAATCTTACCCCTGGCATCTCAGTACATACTATCTCTTATGCTCTTTTGTGATAAGAAACAGAAACAAATTCATAGTAAATTCAGAGATTCATAGAATAAATACCAGACGGCAAAATAATCTCCATCAGCCTCTTGTAAATTTGAGTAAATACCAAAAGGGAGTTTATTGTTTTGGAACAAAGGTCTGTAATAATCTACCACAACATATTAAGGATATATCGAGCGACACTAAGAGTTTTGAGGTACAATTAAAACAATTTTTATATTTACATTCTTTTTATTCTTTACAGAAATATTTTGGTTATAAATCTTTTTAAGATGCGAGTAGTTGTCTTGCTTTACAATTAAAAGAAGACAAGATTGTCAGTCTTTGTTCTGGTTTTTAGATGCTTATTTTAGATATACACAATCTTTATATCACTGTATACTAGTCTTTATTTCAATTTATTATATAATTAATGTATGTTATACAAAACTCATTAATGACATTGTGTTTTAACTATTGAATTTTTAATTAATGGACTTGTATAAAACTGTACAAATTGTATAAGGTTTGCCATTACTTTTACTACTGAAATTAACTTATTTATTATATTGTATATGTTTATCAGTATTTTATTACAAATGTGTATGCTATTGGATGACAACTGTAATTCTTGGTTGTGACTGTGACTAGGACAATCTCCACATCCGCATGAGAATGTATTCTCGACAGGATATATGGAAGGTGAACAAATGAAATGAAATGAAATATATAGGAATGTACTTTGAGAGCCTTCCACAAATTTTTCAGCTGGTGTGACGGGAGGGTCACACTACTATTTTCAACTTGCAATGTGCAGATTTGGACTTGTGACATAACCAACAGGCCAATAGCTTATGCACATCACAGTTTCTATCCAATATCACTCTAATAAATCTTTGAACAGCTATCATGAAGTGGGATTTTATATAATGCCTTTGCTGCTATATTAAGTGTTCACTCAGCTGTGTTGTTTTTCATGTCAAAATATCACATGAGAGTTACACATTGAAATGAGTGTTTGTGTATGATATACCCATGTGAAAAGTAAGGATAAGATTAATAAAATTTAAAGGACGTTAGTAGTTCCAAACAGAAAAAAGTATTAATACAGTCGTAACTATTATAGATAGACATATTCATTATTGGATTAAGAACTGAATCAAAATGCTGAATGCTGACTAAAGATATGTTGGATAAAATCAGTGCTGGACCTGAACATTTCCCTGCTCTGTATGGGATACCAGAGTTTAATGTTTCAAATTCCAAGTTTGCTGTATTTCAGAACTGCAACTTCACCATTTGAATATGAACCTTTTATGAAGGTGCCAGGAATGTGAGTGTAACAGAGGATCATTTCTGGCGCCTGTGGAGGTTTGGTAGGGTTATATATGTGATTTGTTGGCATGTAGGCTTGTCCATTGCACTGAACACACATGGAAAATGCTGATCCAAGTATTATGTGGGCATCCTTCTGGATTGGCCAAAGATGTGTGGTGGGTTTTCAAATAACATCTTGTGTTTTCCAATATTGAAAGGCCGCACCATAGCTCAAGCGGTTAGTCATTGGCTTCCCACCGCAGCGGCCCGGGTTCGATCCTGGGTCTGGTTAAGTGGGATTTGTGGCGGACAAAGTGGCAATGGGGTGGGTTTTCTCCAAGTACTTCGGTTTCCCCTGCCAATCTTCATTCCACCAAATTCTGCATCATCATAATCACCTGGGGCAGGCTACAATAGGCCAATCAGTGGCCACCGTGCCAAGTTGACCCAGTTGGAGTCCACCCCCCCCCACTAAGCGAATTTTACCAATATTAGTATATGGTCCATCAATGAAACTGACATACTAGCCTATGTCATATTTAAGGTGAATATAATTTCTGTTGACAGAGGTACTTTCAAATTAATTCATGTTGCTTATTTGCACTTCACCATGTCATATGGAGCAATCTTCTGGGGATCATATAACTGGAAAGCTTTAAGACAAAAGAAAATCACAGAAATAATGAGAAGAATTAAAAAGAGGGTCTGTTATGTTGAATTGTTGAAGAAATTGAATCTAGTTGCCCCTTGCCAGCAAACTCTTACTCTCATTACTGATGTTTGAAGTGGATAGCATGGGGAAGTTTCACACAGATTCGGATGTGTGTAACATAAGCATAACTTGTGTGTGCCAAATGCTGATGTAACTAGATATCAAAAAGGAGTACACTGTACAGGAATGAATTATTATTAAAAGTTTAAATCATGCTGTAGCTATATTTAAGCATGCATTAAAAGATTATCTCTTATCTCACTCACATTTACTTTTATGGACAATTTTTAAGTATCATAAATATCTTCTGCCTCTTCACTTTATGAAGTCTATTCTGATTTCACATACTCATTCTATTTTTTCCAAGGTTTACCTCAGACCCCACACACTTTAGATTTATACTTTAGAATCTTTATTTATTTAAATTGTACTGACCACCCATTATTGCTAGGATAACGAATTTAGGGCTATGATGGGCTGGGCTTGTAGCAAGGAAGAG